CACCTGGTTGAAATGCAAATTGAGGCTTATTAGCATCTGCCCCACCCTTGGAAAATCCCCTTACACTGAGCACCTGAGTAAGTTTTTCATTAAACTGAGAACAAGGCTCTTCAAGTAACTGTGACTAATAGCCTCCAGGCAAAAAGCTAGAGAATAACTAAACAATTACTGGGCTTGCAACTCTGCCCGGGAAGGTAAGACTTGACAGTGGTGTTTAACATGGGTCCTCCCACGCTCATCCAAACCCAGTAGAGGGTCCCACAAACAGCAGAACACCAACACCCACAGGGAAAATTTGGCAGGCTCCAAAGCCCACTGAGATAGCCAAAATGGAAAAACAAAGAAACAAATCCCAAATGAAAGAACAAGAGCCCTCTATTGAAGATGAGATAAATGAGGTGCAGTTACAGAACTAGAATTCAGAGCCATGATCTTGAGGAAGCTCAACAGCATGTGTAAGGACATGAGTACCATGAGCAAAAACATAGAAATGTTGAAAATCAACCAGTTGGAAATTAAAAACCACCAAGAAGAAATTAAGAATGACATATCCGAAATAAAGAACACACTCGAAGGTCTAAACAGCAGAGTAGAGGAAGCGGAGGACCAGATCAGTGAATTAGAAGACAGGGTAGAAAAAAACCAACCATTCAGAAAACCAAAAGGAAAAAACAATTAAAAAACAGGAAAACAGCTTAAGAGAACTGTGGGACACCTGGAAACGTAATAATATTCGCATTATAGGAGTCCCTGAAGAAGAAGAAAATGAGCAAGGGTTGCAGAATATATTTGAAGAAATAGTGACAGAAAACTTCCCTAATTTGGTGAAGGAAGAAGGCATTCAAGTTCAAGAAGCACAGAGAGCCCCAAGAAAGAAGAATGCAAAGAGGCCCACACCAAGACACATAGTAATCAAAATACCAAAAATTAAAGACAAAGAGAGAATCCTAAAAGCAGCAAGAGATATTACCTACAAAGAAACCCCCACAAGGCTCTCAGTTGACTTCTCAACAAAAACACTACAGGCCAGAAGGGAATGGCATGAAGTAATCAAGGTCATGAAAAGCAAGGATCTGAATCCAACACTACTTTTATGTGTAAAGATATATGCCCTCCTATGTTCACTGCAGCATCATTCACAGTGGCCAAGACATGGAAACAATGAAAGTGTTCTTCGATGAATGATTGGACAAAGATATAGTACATATATACAATGGAATACTACCCAGCCATAAGAAAAGTTGAAATACTGATATTTTTTATAAGGATAGCTCTTGAGAATAGCTTGCTAAGTGAAATAAGTCAGACAGAAAAGTCAAGAACCATATGATTTCACTCATATATGGGATATAAAACTGAAAACAATATATGAACAAACAAATGAACAAAAACTCATAGACAAAGACAACAATATGGTGGTTACTGGAGTGAAAGGGGGTAGAGAAGGGGTGGTAAAAGGGGTCAAATATATGGTGATAAAAGGAGATTTGACATTGGGTGGTAAACACAATGCAATATATAGATGATGTACACTTGAAATCTATATAATTTTATTAACCAATATCACCCTAGTAAATGTAATTTTTTTAAAAAAAAGCTACAGAACCACTTGTACAGCTTATTTATAAGTTTCTTATCACTTCTAGTATGAAGCTATAATAAAACTATAGGATAATCCTGGTTTTCTGGCACTTATCAAACCAAGGTATAAACTGTGTTTCTTATTTTGCTTTGCATTTCAGTGAATAGTAATAAACCTAATTATTACAGTCTTACTGAATGCACTCCAATAAGTAGAGGCTGTTATTGTCTAGGAGCCATTTGAATTGTTTTCCAGTTCTTTATCTCTCATTTTATAAAAATTATAATATTTTGTTTTGTATGCCTTCTACCTCCTTCTGGTACTGCCTTTGTGACTAAGAGATTATATAAACTTGTTATCTGACATTTTAATTGCTTGTTTTATTTTGAACCATACTATTTTGGAAACAGCATACATAGGGAAGACATTATTAGACAAGGAGGCTTAAGGTTCGATACATCGAACTCACTTTCAATTTTCTCATTTGCAAATATGAGTTGCTATCACTTGACAGTGGCTTTATGGAAATGCTGAGACATTTCATATCAATATTGGCCAGATTCAAATAGAAACTAGCTTATGTTCTAGTCACTAGAAAATATTGGGGGGCACATGAATCCTTTAATAATATAGAGAGTAACTACAACTATATGTTAAAGGGACTCAGGAGTCAATTGAAACACTCCCAATGGCCAAAGCTGGAACAACCTGAACAACAAAATAAATAAAATAATATTAAATTATAACTCAAAGTACAAAATGAATACCCATGAGTCCATAATGATACAAGTGAATAAATAAATACATAAGAAAGAATTGACAAATCTGTGAAGAACAGTTCCAAAATAATTTATATAGATACTCGATCCTCAGGAGGTAGAACCTAACTCCTCACTTCTTAAGTATGAGCTGTAAATAGTGACTTCCTTCCAAAGAGGGGTAAAAAAGTAATGTTACAGTAGAGAAACCTGACAAACACTACACCAGTCAGGTCAACATCAATGGTAATAAATCATGTTGGTAATGTACTCTTGATGTTACATGAAAATGGTACTTTACTTTTGTGCCTTTCCTCTCAAATCCATAACCCAATCTAATTATGAGACACACGAGATAAATTCCAATACAGAAACATTTTACAAAATACTTAACCAGTACTTCTCAAAATTGTCAAGGTTATCAAAAATAAGAAAGGTCTGAGGATTATTATAACCAAGAGGAGCCTAAGAAGACAAGAACATTAAATGTAATGTGGTGTGCTGAATGAGATTTTGTAACAGAAAAGACATCAGGTGAAAACTAAGGAGACGGAAAAATGGCAGTGGAGTGAATGGAAGCGACACTGACCACCTCTAAGAACCAAACTGAAATTACAACTAAAATAAAGAAAAGTCATCTGGAATAACAAACTGAAGACCAGGGATGTAAAGAGGAGCCCAAATTGAGACTGGTATGAGGTGCAGAGGTGTGAGGGGGCTGGCTGGGCTCCCACAGGCAGTAGTTGAAGGCTATTTAGCAGTGAGAAGTTTCCTCTGAGAAGTCTGGGGTTTAAACACCAAGCCACATCGCTTCTCAGCCTTTTGGCTAAGATCAAGTGTAGTACCTGTTCTTATCAGTTTAATATCTGATACGTCCTCTATCCGAGGACGTATCAGTAAATAAATAAATAAATAAATAAACACCAAGCTGGCTTCCCAATACAGAGTAGCAGAATAAGGAAAGGCACCCATATAACACCTGGCTGTGAAAAACACCAGAGCAGAGGTCCTGTCCAGTAGGGAGAGATGCGGGGAACACAGGCACATGCCTGAAGGGCCAGCACACTAAATTACATCTACAGCCACTCACCTTGGGCTCCTGCAGAGGGAGAGCAGACTGGACTGGAGCTGCATGAGGAGAGTCTGGGATTCGCGGCACTGGGGAGATAACTGGGAAGGAGGCCATCAGGAGCCCTATGCTGAGTCATTCCCCAATGCTACAGAAACCATTTTTCTCAGGCAGTCTTCCCATCAGAGCAGCTTTAGCCCGGGGTTGGGATGTGGGGAGCAGCTGCCCCACCCTTTAAAATTTAACCCCACCTGGCTGGGAGAAGTGCAATCTGAGGCTCATCAACTGTCAGAGACTACCAACCAGCCTGCAGGCAGAGGGAAGTCTCTGGGCAATTCGAGCCTTGGCCCAGCTTGCAATCACTGGGTTTCCAGGTTTGGGGGTCAGAGCTGCGAGGGAAGCTGCCTGGGTCCCTGTGCCAAGTCATTAACTCATGCTGCAGAAACCATTTCCTTCAGCCAGAGTTTTCCTCTCAAAGCAGCTTTAGCTGGAGGGGGCGGGGAGCAGGAATTGCTTCATCTATTGAAAATCCTCTCACCTTGCCCACATGGGGGAGTTTTCATTCAGCTGAGGGTTACAACCTGAGGCTCTTTAAGTGACTGAGACTAACAGTCAGCCTGCAGGCAGAGGCTCTGGGATACTTGAATCTTTGCCTAGCCTGTGACTCTACCTGAAAGGGTAAGACAAGACATTAGTGTTCAGCTTGATCCCTTCCATACACATCAAAACCCAGCAGAGGGAGCCACAATCTGTGGAACATTGATACCCACAGGTAGATTTTGGCAGGATCCAAACCCTGCGAAGGCAGCCAAATTGGTGAAACAAAGAAACAAATACCAAATGAAAGAACAAGAAAATTCTCCAGAAAAGGGGCTGAATTAAAATGGAGATAAGCAAGTTATCAGATATAGAGTTCAGAGTAATGAGTATGAGGATGCACAACAGCATGAGGAAAGATATGGACAATCAGAAACGACCAATCAGAAATCAAGAATGACATAGCAGAAATAAAGACCATGTTGCAAGGAATAACCAGAAAATTGAGGAAGCCAAGGATCAGAGCAGCAAATTAGAAGACAAGGTAGAAAAAAAATCACTCAATCAGCAAACTGAAAAGAAAAACAATTTAAAAAAAGGAGGACATCTTCCTTGTCTCTCTCCTCCTCTCCTCTCTTCTGCCTCTACCCCTGTCTCATTTCCTCTCTTTCTCTCTTCTCCCTCTCTCCTTCAGCCTTCTTCACCCTCTCTCTTTCTCCCCCCTCCCTCTCCCTTCTCTCTCTCCCAAATAAAAAAAAAGGAGGACAGTTTAAAAGAGTTGTGGGGCAACAGGAAATGTAACATCTGCATCATAGAAGTACCAGAAGAAAAAGAAAGTAAGCAAGGGTTAGAGAATCTATTTGAAGAAATAGTGGCAGAAAATTTTCCTAACTTGGTGAAGGGAAAAGGCATACAAGTTCAGGAAGCACAGAGAGCCCCAAACAAGAAGAACCCAAAGAGGCCCATGCCAAAACACATCATGATTAAAATGCCAAAAATTAAAGACAAAGAGAGAATCTTAAAGGCAGCAAGAAAAAAGCAATAGGTTACTTACAAAGGAGCTCCCACAAGGCTGTCAGCTGATTTCTCAACAGGAACACTAGAGGTGAGAAGGGAATGGCATAACATATTCAAAGTAATGAAAAACAAGGATCTGAATCCAAGACTACTCTATCCAGCAAGATTATCATTTAAAATAGAATGTGAAATAAAGAGCTTCCCAGACCAAAAAAAAAAGCTAAGGGAATTTACTAGCACTAAACCAGCACTGTAAGAAAAGTTAAAAGGAGTGCTGTAATAAGCAGAAGAAAGAGAAAGAGAAACATAGGCATAATAAATAAAAATGGCAATAAATAAGTACATATCAATAATAACCTTAAATGTAAATCGACTAAATGCTCCAATCAAAATACAAGGAGTAGCTGAATGAATAAGAAAGCATGACCCATAATATGTTGTCTACAAGAGACCCACCTCACAGCAAAAGACACACAGGTTGAAAGTGAAGGGATGGAAAACATTTTTCCAAGCAAATGGAAATGAAAAAACAGCTGAGGTAGCAATACTCATATCTAATAAAATAGACTTCAAACATTCAATGAAGAACTAACACCTATTCTCCTCAAACTATTCCAAAAAACCCAAGAAGAAAGAAGACTTCCAAACCCGCACACCAGAACCAAATAAAGACACTACACAGAAAGAAAATTACAAAGCAATATCCCTAATGAATATACACGCCAAAATCCTCAACAAAATCTTAGCAAATTAGATCCAACAATATATTAAAAAAATTATTCACCACAACCAAGTGGGATTTATCCCAGGGATGCAAGGCTGATACAATGTTCACAAATCAATAAATGTGATATACCACATGAACAAAATGAAAGATAAAAATCATGTGAACATATCAATAGCTGCTGAAAAAGCATTTGACAAAATCCAGCACTCACTTTTGATAAAAATCTCAGCAAACTGGGAACAGAGAAATCATACCTCAACATAATAAAGGTCATATATATGAAAAATTTTAGCCAAAATCATCCTCAATGGGCAAAAACTAAAAGAGTTTCCCTTAAGAACAGGAACAAGACAGGGATGTCCACTTTTACCACTTTTACTCAACGTAGTACTAGAAGTCCTAGCCACAGCAGTCAGACAAGAAAAAAAAAAAAAAAGGCATCAAAATTGGAAAGGAGGAAGTGAAACTGTCATTATTTGCAGATGACATAGTGTTTTACATAGAAAACCCTAAAGATCACCAAAAAACTAATAGATTTAATAAATGAATTTTACAAAGTAGCAAGATACAAAATTAAGATCCTGCAATTGAAGGCATTTTTATATCCAACAATAAACACACAAAAAGTGGAACTAAAAAAATCCCATTTACCATTGTAACAAAAAAAATAAGATTCCTAGGAATAAACTTAACTAAGGAGGTAAAATGCCTATTCTCAGAAAACCATAGGACATTAAAAAAAGAAATAGAGAAAGATATAAAAAAGCAGAAACATATATCATGTTCATGGATTGGAAGAATCAACATCATTAAAATGTCCATACTGTCTGGCCGGTGTGTCTCAGTGGTTGAGCATCAACCCATGCACCAAGAGGTCGCAGGTTCAATCCCTGGTCAGGACACATGCTTGGGTTATGGGCCAGATCCCCAGTGGGGGGCATGCAGGAGGCAGCCAATTGATGTTCTCTCTTATCGATGTTTCTATTTCTCTCTCCTTCTCACTTTCTCTGTCTCTAAAATCAATAAAGGAAAATAGATAAATAAATAAAATAAAATGTCCATACTATCCAAAGCAATCTATAGATTCAATGCAATTCCTACTAAAATGCCAATGGCATATTTCATAGATCTAGAACAAATACTCCAAAAGTTTATATGGAACCAAAAAAGAACCCGAACAGCCACAGCAATCTTAAAAAAGAACAAAGTTGCAGGAATCACAATTCCAGATAGCAGGTTATACAACAAAGCCACTGTAATAAAAACAGGTTGGTATTTTCACAAGAATAGGCATATAGTTCAGTGGAACAGAGCAGAGAACTCAGCAATTGACCAAGTAATATTTGACAAAGGAAAGAAGAGCATGCAGTGGAGTAAAGATAGTCTCCTTAATAAATGGTACAGTATTTGGAAAACTGAATAGCTACATGCAAAAAAATGAAACTAGACCACCAACTCACACCATACATAGGAATAAATCCAAAATGGATAAAGACTTAAATGTATCATGTGAACCATAAAAATCCTAAAAGAAAATGTAGGCAGTAAAATCTCAGACATACATATAGCCAAGTTTTAACCGATACATTGCCTACAGTAAGAACACAGAAAAAAATTAATAAATGGGACTACATCAAACTAAAAAGCTTCTGCACAGCAAAAGAAACCGGCATGAAAATGAAAAGGGAACCCATGGTCCGGAAGAACATATTTTCCAAACCCCATATATCAGATAAGGGGTTAATTTCCAAAAATATAGAGTACACACAACAACTCAACAAAAGGAAAAAATCCAATTAAAAAATGGGCAGAGGGCCTGGCTGATGTGGCTCAGTGTTTGTGCATCGACCCATGTACCAAGAGGTCGCCAATTCGATTCCCGGTCAGGGCACATGCCCAGGCTGTGGGCCAAATCCCCAGTGGGGGGCATGCAGGAGGTAGCCAATCGATGCTCTTTCTCATTGATGTTTTTATCTTTCATTCTCCCTTCTCTCTCTAAAAAAATCAATAAAGAAAAAAAATTAATAAAATAAAATCAGTAAAGAAAAAAAATTCAAAAATGGGCAGAAGGGCTCAGTAAACACTTATACAAATGACATAGAAATGGCCATGAGACATATGAAAAAATGCATAACATCACTAATCACCAGAGAGATGTAAACTAAAATCACTATAAAGGTATTACCTTACACCTGCCAGAATGACTGCCCCAACAACAAATCATCAAATAACAAGTGTTGGCGAGGGTGTGGAGAAAAGGGGACTCTAGTACACTGCTGGTGGGAATGCAGACTGATGCAGCCACTATGGAAAACAATATGGTGTTTCCTCAAAAATTAAAAATGGAACCGCCATTTGACCCAGTGATTCTACTTCTAGGAATATATCCTAAGAAGCTTGAAAAACCATTTAGAATATATGCACCCTTATGTCCATAGCAGTGCTATTTACAATAGCTAAGATCTGGAAACAGTCCAAGTACCCATCAGTAGATGAATGGGTATAAAAGGAATACTATGCAGCTGTAGGAAAGAAAGATCTCTTATCCTTTGAGAGGACATGGAGGGACCTGGAGAGTAATATGCTAAGTGAAATAAGCCAGTCAGAGAAAGACAAGTATCATATGATCTTACTTAGTTGTGGGATATATTGAACAGAATAAGCTGATGAACAAAATAGAGATACATGGAGGTAGGGAACAGACTGATAAATCTCAGAGGCAAGGAGGGAGGGTGGGGCAAGAAGAGATAAACCGAAGAACTTATATACATATATGCATAACCAATGAACACAGATAACTATGTGGTGAAGGCAGGGTGTGGGGGTGGAAGCATTGAGGAGGGTGTCAATGGGAGAAAAAGGAGAGACATCTGTAATAAAAAATTAATTAAAATTTAAAAACATAATAAAGAATATGAAAATATGTTTTAAAACAGAATGATTATACTTATAATGATTACTGGTACTGAGGGTTTTCTAATTTAATAAATCAAATGAGCCCCACTGTGTATGCTGTTGGCATAAGACATATCAATAAATGCATAAAGACTTCGTTTATTAATCTGATTTAGGTTGCTAAGTGATGTATTCAGGAAAACAATTTTGGTTCTGTACTTCTCAAAGATAATTATAAATTATATTAATATGCTAGCTTTGTGCTTCAAAATCAGGATGTATGTTTTAGGCAAAGCCCTGAGTAACTATAGATTATAACAAACTGCTTTGAAAAGGATATGCTTTATAAAGTAATTTTATGTCTAGAAGAATTACCAACTCAATTCAAGGAGGAGTCAGTTTACATAGAATATAAACAAAGAACTAGTTTTACTACCCATAAACATATATAATTTCTTAAATTATTTGATCAATATTCATTCAACAAGCACTTAGGTGCACAGCAATTAAACATTATCAGTAGAACCAAATTTTTTCAGCATCTTCATTTATATTGACAAAGGTACTCTTCTTTATTTAAAGACTGTAAATGAGGTTGGGGCCAGGTAGTACACATTTTTAGTTTTCTGTGCCATGCAGACTCTGTACAGTCTATTCAACTCTGCAGCCACAGAAAATATGTAAACGAATGACTGGCTTTGTTCCAAGAAAACTGAATTGACAAAAACAAGGCAGCAGGCTGGATTTGGCCTGTGATCATAATTTGCTGAACCCTGTTCTACAAGACTTGTTAAAAGTTTTATCAGTTTCTCTTACGTTATAAATTTACTGAAAATAACTAAAAAATAAAGTATCAGATCATGAAAAGAGGATCCAAATTATATTGCAAGTTTTAAGAAACCTAAAAAGTTTCTTATTTTAGCCCTATCAATTTTCCTTATAGAAAGAAAAAAGTCTTGACCGGCCAGTGTGGGTCGACCCGTCTACCAGGAGGTTGAGGATTCGATTCCTGGTCAGGACACATGCCCAGGTTGTGGGCCCGGTCCCCAGTGGGGGGCATACAGGAGGCGGCCAGTCAATGTTCTCTCTCATCGATGTTTCCATCTCGCTCTCCCTCTCATTCCCTCTCTCTAAAATCAATAAAGGGGGGGAAAAAGTCTATCTAGATAAGAGATGTTGCAATGAGATTTAGTTTAAGAAAAAAAAGTTTTTACTTCCTTTAATTTTCTAGTTCATTCTCCTAGTTGATTGCTTTTGATCCATTTCAAAAGTGACTGAGTCAGGAACCAAGAGGGTACAATTTGAACAACAATATTATAAGTTCAATTTTGGATAAGTGGATTTGAGTCTGTTTGGATTTCCACATGGAAATGCCCCCATCAGGCAACCACTAAAGCAAAAATTCATGCTTCAGCTTCTAAAGCAACACTAATTCATCTCATTGGTGTTTATCACTTTTA